ACCGTGCATTCCAATGACAGGGGGAGGGGTGAGGAGCATCTGATTGCCCAGGTCTAGCTTGACAGTCAACCGGTGATCATGTCCTCTCCATGACCTCCTCCAACAGTTGACTGGAATCCTGTTCAGGTTGTTGTATTCCTAATGGAGGTTGGTGGCTGCTCTACTGGCCTTATTCCCTTGGGGGTAGTTCAGTCTCTTTGCCTGACTTTAATGCCATGACCCTTGATACTTTAGCTCTCACCAGCGTGCATGTAATCAAATCCAGATGATGTTCTGCCGCCTTGGAGGCTTAAATGATTGTATCTTTTATGAACCTAGAAGCCCTTGCTCTATTGAATCCCTTGTTTTCACGAATTCCCAGGAGTAGGACTACCCCCATCTCTTATGTGGAAGCATGGACACTTCATCTTCTCTGAGATTTATTTATTTGTTCAAGGCCTCCTTGTGAGAATCACACATGAACAAAAGGGAACTCAGGATAAAAATTTGGTTATGAGGTAGAAAGGAAATACTCCTTTTTATTTTGCCAATGAGAACATAGTAGCAAAAATCCCCCCAAAACCAAATTGTTTCTCCATATTTCTCCTTATTACACATGTCTCTTTTTATTTTCCATTACATATGTAGGAGCAGTATATATTTTTAAATATGCCTTTAGATCATTAATCTTGTTAGAATTTTATCACATGCTAGCGGTCCCAAACCTACTGTATTTCCAGGAACGATTCCGAGGTTTTAGGCCATTTTAATTGACTTTAACTAACATTCATAACAGCCATTCCCTGTGTCTTCCAACATGTACACAGACTTGTGTACCGTATTTTTCTTTTCTTTTTTTTTTAAAAAAGTGTTTATTTTGGGGCGCCTGGGTGGCTCAGTCGGTTAAGCGGCCGACTTCAGCTCAGGTCACGATCTCATGATCCGTGAGTTCAAGCCCCGCGTCGGTCTCTGTGCTGACAGCTCAGAGCCTGGAGCCTGTTTCAGATTCTGTGTCTCCCTCTCTCTCTGCCCCTCCCCTGTTCATGCTCTGTCTCTCTCTGTCTCAAAAATAATAAAATAAAAAAAATAAAAATGTTTATTTATTTTGGAGACAGAGGAAGAGAGTGTGAGCAGGGGAGGGGCAGAGAGAGAGCAAGAGACACAGAATCAGAAGCAGGCTCCAGGCTCTGAGCTGTCAGTACAGAGCCCAAAGCAGGGCTTGAACCAGGAACCGTGAGATCACGACCTGATCTGAAGTCAGTCGCTTAACCAACTGAGCCACCCAGGCACCCCCAGACTTGTGTACCATCTTAATGCTTCTGCTGTCCTAAGGGTCATTTTACCATTACCTTGACCATATATATCAAAGGCGATGCTCCATACAGTCCAAGACAAATTTTATTAATAATGTAAATATACACTCATATTTACAGATACATCTATGACTAAAATAGAAGTCACTTACGACCTTGTCAGCAATATACCTAACCTTCTTTGTGATGCCTTTTGTTATTGTTGACCTATAAGGACTGTCTTCACTCAGTTATTTACAAAAGCCCTCTAAAGGAAAGTATTGTAAAATTCTGAATTCTGTGGCCTATAGAAAAGGTGACATATAATTTATTCCCCAGACCAGTACACTTAGGAAGGGGACATTATTAATAATTATGTCAGGACAACAGTTATAAGCCACTACTGTCCCAGCCAAACCAAATGTATGGTTATGCTACAGGGCAGAGGCAGCACATTTTCCTGTGACACCTTCAGGTAACACTGAGGTTCTTGATTTGATTAGCTGGCATGAGAAGTCACTTAAACAGCAGTCAGCTGATGGTGATGTATACATATATATTTCTAGCATTAGGATGGGCACTCAGTGAGTTCACCTTGAAGTAACTTACGGGAAATTTTTATAATGTGATTTAACTCAACATTTGAGTCACACCAGTTCTGTCCTTCACATATTGCAGCACTTTTATTGTGCGTTGCAAGTGAATTTCAGGCAATGTTAACCTGCCATTTTGTTCTAATGACGCTAATGACTGAAATTAGTGCCAGACAATGAGCTTGGCAATGACAGCATAAATGGTACGGTCACATTTCCCTTTTTACTAACTTTATGTTATTTCAGCCACTGTACACTTAATCCAGTGTTTTATTTACGAAGCACTCTTCAACTGCCAGCGTTACGATTTGACCTTTAAAATAAATCCATTAGTAATTTTTGCATATATGCATATGTCAAGGAAATTCACATTTAACTTTTCAAGGAATTCTAATTAACTGATCTTTGCTGTTCTTCGTTATAAACTGCTGGATTAAATAAATCTTAGTTTGAAGCTGAAAGGACTTGCAGCAAAGGGAACCTTGAACAAAGAGAGCCTGTGAGTCTAAAATAAGATCACATTTTCACTAATCACCTAAATAATGATGGACTTTAAACACCTTCTTGGCTTGCTCTCAGCTGTGTCTCTAGTACCTAGAACCATGGCTGATTTAATCGGAACACATTCAACAATATTTGCTCAATGAATGAATAATATTCCTTACAGTTTGCTTTAAGATATTCATGGCATGAGTTTTTTACTCTCAAGCATTCTATGCTTACTATCTATTTATCATGTTCTTGACAATGTATTGTGTGGAGAATTGCAAATCTCTGGCTTTCCATAATTATTGATTCAATTAATCAACAAGTTCTGTGGGGTTGTAATTTGCTGTGCTAGTTTATAGTATTGTTGGCTTCAAGAGAAAGTTTTCCACATTCTGCTTTTAGTTACAATTAACATCCCCCCTGACTTTCAGGTTTGCTCTTTGCTTCTCTTGTGCAGGACAAGAAACCAGATGATAATGATGTAACCAAATCTCCTTTTTTTTTTTT